GACACGGAATGCTTGATGGACCAGGGCTGACGGAACGCCTCACAGATCGGATACGGCTCCAACAGGAAGACCCGCCACATGATGCCCAGCGGCCACAAGGCCTTCGTCGTCAACAACGGTATGCTACCTATCGAGTACGACACCACCCCAGGATTCCGCTAACGGATGCAGTCGCCGATGTTGACCTCCTCCTCATGCACAACCAGACCTTCGCCGCAGAGTACGTTCGCCAGCTTCTGTTCCACCATCCACCATACTAATGAATCCTTCAGGATCGCCCACGCTGTATCAGCACGAAAGCGCATCGAAATCATCGCCAGGGCGAAGCAGATCGGTGTCAAGGTTACTAACGGCAAGGCCCGCGTCAAGACCGAGTCGTAGATGGGTGTGGATTTTCACTTTGGGGCGGGGCATACAAGGCGTCTCTCTGATTAGTTACGATCTCAATGGGAAGGCTTTTCATCCTCTTCGGCTCACGGTACCCTTCGATACGGTATGGGGAGAGGCATGCACTTCAAAAAGCATTGCGACATGTTACTGCGGAATGACCAAAGATATCAAGGGACAGGAGCAGTAGGAATGCAATGAAAAAACGAGCCAAATCAGGATCTCCTAGATGACGTAGAATGTGATGCTTTTTGATCTTAGACTAACTGCAGAGCCACTTTGATGTCGCAACCTCAACTGCCGGCCGCGCAGAACAAACGCGTGTGTTGCGGTATCGTCCGTAGAGTGCTGCATGTAGTCTGCGCCAAGCATCGAATGCGCAGCAATCAGGCTGATCTTCTTCACATGCCACAGATCAGGTCATGGCTATCGAGATGACGACTAGAGTTTGCGGTAAAATATGCCGCGCCGGTTGCTGCTCAGTCTTGCGAGCTGTTCTTCTTGGAGTTAATGGTACTGCATCCATGATGTTGGAGTGGGTTACAATTTTCAGCTAGACTTTTATCGCAGAAGCCTTTGACCAGCGACGAGTGTACCTTGATGTCGATTTCGCATACATGTCATCGACAAGCAACATCGGACCTGCATGATAGCACTATGCATATTCCTGTTGGATGTAATACTACCGGTTATTTTGGTCAATTGCTTGAGCTGCCTAAGCATCAACATCGCTGACGGGCATGTTTCCGCATAGGCATCGCCTGCTCGGAAGATGCGCAGCCGCAAGCCATGTCCACTCCTCAACCTACTCACCGCCATCAGATTGATGAGTGAACGCGACGCACATTGATAAGGAGTCTGATAGTAAAGCCGTACGATACGAGTCACAAAGGGGCAGCGCAAGAGCCATGGTTGCTTCTTGGCGCCGTCGCACGTACGCTGGGTGCAGCCGCGTAGAAGCAAGTGAGGCGCCGCGTGGGCTCAAAGGAAAGCTGGTATTTGTCGCGTGGCAGCGGGCGTTGTAGGCAGGGTTTCGGCTGTCTATTTGCTTGTCTGGCATGGGTTGTGGAGATGGAATGTTTCACGAAGTTGGAGAATCGGCGCGAATGTTGCAAGTACGGGGAAGGCGATCTGAGGAAGGTTGAATTGCGCAGGCTGGCGCTTACTCTGCTTTGACGCACGCATCAGATTGTCGAAACATCCAAGCTGCTTAGAAGAATGCTCTTTGTTGCTCCAGGCGACCCGGGGCTCCGAGTCCGTTGTTTTGTCATGGTTCCTGGTGCTGGTGCTGGTTCCATCGGCGGCGGACATGTTGAGCGCCTCGCTACCGGCTGCGCTTACGGAAGTTCCGCGCACGATCTAGCAACGCCTGTCGGTCCACTCAGTCCCTTTCGCATCCGCACACCTCAACCCAGCATCACACCGCTCTGAAGCTGCCCTCAGTCTGTGCCTGCCCTTGCAATTTCACACTCCCAGGCGACTGCTGGACAATCGACCTTGCTGCGTCGCGTTATCTGGCATTATCTGTCCACGAGTGGCTGGCACCCCAGGTGATTGGCCCAGGGCGGCACTCTATCAACGCATGTGGGTTGCTGCGAGGGAGGCACGAATGCGGAGCCTGGCATGCCACCACGACAATCAGCGGATCCGTGGGCGCGCGACAGGAAAGAACCGGGAACGTGTACCGCTGAGAATAGCTGATTGAGGCAGTGTGTCATGACGAATTTCTGATGAGGCCCGTTTTACTGAGGGTCCGATACGCTCGGGGGCGGCGTGCGAGGACGCGGTGCTCACGTTGGCATTGGCCTTGGATGTCTGACTATTGCTCCCCGGTACATGGTCCACACTTGTACCCACGGTAGGTCGAAGCGCATCCCAATTTCCTTCCGTCAGCCTGGGAAAGATTTTCAGACCCAGCACTAAATTAGCTCCCGTCTTTTAAATATTTCGACACCCCAGCGTCTTTGTTTCGAGATTCCTCCTTTCACGCGCACTCAGTGAACCACGCTCGTCGAAGGCTTGCCTCGCTCCTCATAGCGACACAGTCGTGCACTTGCACGCAGTGACCGGCGGTCTTCGGCTAGTCACATTCACAACACACTCCTGAAGTACCGGATTTCTATACTACCAACTCGCCTCTGTTCAAGCGGAACATCGCAGCATCCAACATTGCCACTGACGATCACGACCACGTGCTTTACCGACGGCAGACTTTGCTTCAAGAACTTTCCGGAGTACTTGCCACCCCCGGAATCTCAGACCCACCACGACTGCCGACTGTCCCCGGAGGACATCACCGACAGTGACCGGAGGAGTTTTATCAAACGTTGTTCGAAAACCATCGACATGGCGCCCAACCTCTTCATAGCTACTCAAAAGGCCTTCGCGCCCCACAAGTGGTTCAAGTCGAACAAGGCAGAGCAGTCATCGAAGGTCGTTGAAGAGTGGACCAGCCCAGTACCCGGCCAGTACGAGAGTATCCCCGGACGAGGCTGGTTCCTGATCGCAACTCTCAAGGACGATTCCAAGCCAGAAGGCCATCCCAGTTCATACATCAAGTCATCAACTGGCAGAGTGTACATTCCCCTGGACCGTCCTGTTCCTCTGAAATACTCCCATGCTATCGGTCGTTATTTCTTGGAACCCGAGTTCAACAAGCGCAAGAAGACTGTCATGATCAAGAACGACAAAGGCAAAGAAGTACAAGCAGGCTTCTTCCGGGTCGACGACGTGGCTTGGGTCAAGTGCTGGGACGAACACGACACCTTCATTCCTGGGAACGCAAATGGCGCTGCGGGTTATCAACGTTGGGTCTTCGATCAGCAAACACAGCAGTTCCGTCACATGATCAAGCGCGACGATCCCAACTACGTTCGGTCCCGAAAGAACTCTCCTGCCCGCGATGCCGACAACCGCAGCCAAGAGTCAGTGAGCACTGAGTATCGCACTAGCCGTCCTGGTAGCACCAAGAACGGCTTCAGCGTTGCTAGCACAAGGGCCAACAGCTTCCGCTACCAACCTCCGACTCCTACTTCAAACCCGACTAGCCAACGCCCTTCCAGACAGAGCAGTCCCAAACGTAGCGACAGCATACCTCTTGAAGAAGCCAAAATCGCCCTCCGACGCTTGGCTCGCGAGCACGAAGAGGCAGCAGCTGCCTTGGCTCGATCTCGCATGAAGCGCACCGACTCCAAGGATCGCGTGGAGCAGATTGAGCGCGGTCGTGTTTCCGAACGGGTCGGTAACTAAAAGTGTTTTACATTGGGCGTTCGGCAAAGCGATCTGATGGCGCCCGGCTATCCTGCGACATGGAGCTTGGCATTCAACACGTGGTAGTACCGACTTCATGGTGCTACGATTCCCCTTTACAGCCTTGTAATCTTTCTAGAGTCATGATTTCCTTTTCACGGCCTGAGGTTCAACGAGTTCAGTTCATTAGCGATTATCGGTCCTTGTGCGGCTGAATGCCAGGTGGAGTTCAGTTTAGGTTTCCTTTTAGACTTTTGGCGCTTCACTTCTTCTTCTGTACGGCGCATTACTACAAGGGCATCATGCACGGTATACCCAGATATGGTTTAAGCCCTTCGCGGCTCTGTTGTCAAGCTTCATAGACATTGTTTTGTAGGTACAACGTGGCGAATGTATTCTTTTCTCATGCGTTCGCAATGCTGTTTGCGCTTTTCATCCACGTCGTTTGACATTCGCAGCTGTTGTATACCCCCTTGTTAGCTGTTGGGTCCTACGTGTAGAACGGTATGATAATCTTCGGCCGTGCTGTGTGCTGAGCGCATTCACCTCCGCCTCTTCTTTTAGTATACGAGCATCAAATTCAGCTTTTCTGTCACGGCGACGACGCTTCAATACTGCGAGTCGCTTCACGCATACCGCGCAACTTCACGCAGAATTCCTTCCTTGAAGCAAGTGTCGCGTCTACGGCTCTTTTCCTTTACATAAAGTACGCTGTTTTCGCAATCTGTCCTTGTACCCTTCTATTGTCACAGTATCGATTTTGATCTCTTGACAACTACCATATCAGCATTCCCGCTTATCACCATCTGCTACATCCCGGCCCTTGCGCAACCAAGCAAGCCTCCTACATTTCTCTGAGAATCAAGATACGAATACTGCTGAAAGTCTTCTGTACGAAGATGCCGCGATCATCGAGAGCAGCAGGTGCGGACCATCACCGCCGAGTCCGTTCCACTCACAGCTACGACGACCGCGAAGATCATGCAGCCACAAGTCACCGCGTGCAGTCTATTCCTCATCCACATATTGTCGAAACGGAAATCAGAAACCTAAGCCACGATCTTGCCCTCGCTTTTTCCCAGATAAAGGTGCTCGAAGGAGAGCTCGGCTTGGCTGATCAAGAGATCAGGTTGTTGAGAGAGGATAACGCGATGTTGCAAGATAATAACGCGACGCTGAAGGACTGTCTGGACGGCCGAGACGACGCCGAGCGCGAGGTGATAACGGAAATGGAAAGCCGTCTTGAACACCTACATGAGGAGTTACATGACCTAGATGCCATTCTCCAAGCAGTATTGGATGCTGTGGGCGTGACGGACAGCAATGAACCGTCTGGGGTCTACTTTGAGGGGGACTGGGAAGACATGGCGAGGTTATGGCGGGAAGGTCATAATGGACGGAATGCAAAACATGCAAGGAACAATCTGGCACCTGTTGGTCAGCAACGAGCTGATATCAGACTTCCGCACGAGTCAATGACTGAGACGAACGCTTCTGGCCCGTCACGCCACTTCGAGCGCAGCAACGCGCCTAGCCCGGAAGAAAGACCTTCACAGCAAACTTCCCCAGATATGTTGCGACAGATCGAATCGGAAATGACTATACTTCAACTCCAGGATCGTATGGAAAGAACGGAGGCTGGAATGAGAGCCTTGACAAGCCGATGCGATGCGCAAGATCAATGGCACGACCTACTAGTTGAGATGTTGCATAGACAGGAGATGATCTTGGCGGATATACTCAGTACTATCTACGAGGCGCAAGAGGAGTATGACGATGACGATGACGAGTCATACTGTATGTGCGGTGAGCATGGAGATGAGCTTGATGGTGAAGATATGAGTGCGATATTAAGAGGTGGAATGGGTGGGAGAGACGAAGACGAAGAGTTTGTGTATGATTATGGTGGGTACACGAACTGGGACCAGATGGACGCGACTTCGCAACAGGAGAGTGGGAATGGAAGTCACGGTAGCGATGACGACGAAGAGGTCATCCGACAATTGCGACAGCGGGTTGAAAGCTTGAACGATCAGGTTCGTAAGCTTACAGAGACGGCGCACCAGGACAGTGTTTCTCGATCGGGAGGCGGCCAAGAGGAGAAAGAGGATGAACCGAGTCTACGTGGTGGAAGTGGGGAAAAGGAGGTTGATCACGATGGCAATCGCGAGCATATCGATACCAGCAGCGTCCCTACTCTCACCCCAGCCTCACCACACTTGCTTTGTCAACGAGCCGCAACTCGAGTCGGCAATTCGACCATCGACTATATCCTCGTATATCTACCTCCAGGTTTCGTCATTCCCGGAACCAACAAGCCAGAGCTTGTTTTCCACAGCGCCGCGACAATCTACTATTTCCCAACAGGAGCAACAGAAGACTTTGTAAAGCGAGAAGCCTGGAAGCAAAAGGCTTGTGGAAATGGGCACTGGCAAGAAGTCGCGATCCACAAAATACAGTCAAAGCAGGTGTTCAAGAGCGCGATCGCAAGCTGGTGGGAGACCATGGGACTAAGCTGGAATGTCCTGACCGGTGGGGTCTGGAACTTTGACGGCGATGAAGGTGATATGTACATGGTCAACGACAATAATCTCTTTCTTACGAATCGCACAAGAGACGTAGCCGGTGCACAACTCCGCGGCGGAAGTGACTACGAGACGGACCCGTCGTTCCAGAACGAGAGTGCAGCGAATGAATCTAGCAGCATGTTTGAGCAGCTCATGCAAGAGGCCGCGACATTGTGTGTGGGCCCTCCAACCTCTCAACGTGGAGATTTTTGGATGACTCTGGCCAATGTACTACAAACACGCAACTACTTTCTCGAACGCGAACTCGAGAACTTCAAGGAGCTAAATCACAGTCTCATGCAGGATCTACATTGGCAGATGGATGTACAAGTGGAGATGGAGGAGCGGCTTGACACAGCCCTAGCAGAAAAGGACGCAATCGCTGAAGAACTGGAGGTTCTCAAGACCCGCTTGATGATTTTATTCGAGAGTACTACATCTCGTACGTTATGCACAGATGAAAAGGAAGACGCCGTTTCGACTGACCAAATCCCCGTGGAGTCGCCATGCCTGGGAACGATGCGAGGCGGTAACGAAGATCCATCATCACCGGCGACATCTACGAAGGACACGACTCTACAAGCATTCTCCTCCGACCCTTCCCATGCGTGTGCCGCTGTCAAAGCGAAGTCTTTCGAGTTCTATCCAAGACAATCCATCATCGTCTTTGCTGGTGCCTCTCCGCACCTATACCAGTTTCCTCACAGGTCGACATTGCCAGAAATCTGTCGCATCCTCGAGATTGATGACGGAGAGGAACCGCTCTCCAATGATCCGTATATCGCGCGCGTCTTGGAGATCATGAAGATCCGCGAAGAGATGGGCATAGAGTTACCTGAGAACATCAGCGATGAGCGTGTCACTATCAGCATATGCGATGTTCCAAGTGACTGTCACTTGGATCGCGAAACAAAGATAGCTACATGGGAGGTGCATGAAGGAGATGTGGACGTTCTCGGGAAGCTACTAACAAAGCTGGAGATCGATCTAAACGCATCGAAGTCGTCTACCAGTACCTCGGTCAGAACCGCATCGAGCGAAGAAGAGCACGACTACTATCAAGATGTTGGCGATTTGGTCAATTCGCTCAACGACGCACTCAAAGACGAGGTTGAAACCAGCTCGCCGAAGTTCTGTACGTGTCGGATAAATCCCGTAGATGACAGTGAGAGTTTCCCTGAGATGGAAGAGGCAAAGCAACAATGTTTGTTACCCGTTCGTGGCGGTGGCAGTGATCCCGGTCACTGGAACCATGATGCACACGGCAACCGAGAGTTCCCGCTACAGTCTCCCAAGTTGCCTGCTGCACCAGGTGTCCCACCTATAACGCCGAAATCCTACGGTACGTTGGCACCAAATACTTCTAACTTACTTCCAAACGAGGCGATCATTCCGGCAAAAAGTCCCTTGAGCATGCGACTGGGCCGCCTCATGTTCCCTGCCAAGTTCGTTCATCGGCACGAGGATAGCATCAGCCACTTTGACTGGCAACATACTAAGCGACTGAATCCTCAGTTCAAAGACAAGCGCTCCAGAAGTTACAAGTATACAAGAGGTACTCAATGCGAAGTTTGGGCTATGCAGCTGGACGAACATCGAGAGCACTGCGACTATTGTCAAGTAATGTTCATTGAGGAAGACTACGCTAGAGTTAATGCTATATCTACGTATAAAAACGACGCTTCGAGGCCGCCAATAGGAGCTAGGAGATCTTCGGAGAACACCATCTGGCCTGGAATCCGCAACGAAACAACCCTCCGCACTGATGACCACCCAGACTCCGGCCTGAGGGGCGGTGCTGGTCATGAAAGAGATCTGAGGCATGGAGGGGAGGAAAGTGAAGACTGGCGATCCGAGTGGGATGATCTGGCTAGCCAAACTCAATCCTCAGGCTATCAGCCTCGCACGTTCCGCAACTCCAGCACGCTTTCCACAAAGACAATGACTTCACCTCCTTCGCCCGTTGACCGCAACCTCCGCAAAGATCGCTGGCCTCAGTCATGGGATGTTTGTACCGCCGAAGAGTTCCTAAGAACAGAGCCCTGGATTTCAGATTCCGAACACATGAAGGCAGATCGCCGCGAATTTCGTGCAGGTGAGTCCCCTAAACCACCATACAATACTCGGCACAAGAGCCCTGATAGCCTGACGCCATCAAAGACTAGTAATCCCTTTCTTTTGGAGCTACGAAGGTCACGGCAGGAGTCAGTCCTTGAGAGACCACTTACGAACTGCGACACCTTGTCTATTAAAGATAGCGACAGTATTTTGGAACTCAAGGCTGACGCTTGGCTGGATAACCCGAGGCCGGCACCCCCAAGCCCCTTCCAACGCAATTCCGCAGCGCCACGGCAAGTCTCCCCGGGCTCACGTCAAGCAACCTCCAACGGCACATGCGTATCCACATCTACAACGCCGTCCAATTCGGTACCTAGAGAGCTGTCATTCAGAAGTGATCGCCGCGAGTTCTTCCCAGCCAGCAAATATCACACCTCATCAGATAATGCCTCCAGTGTGACGATGCGAACAAGGCGCAAAGACGTGCCTTTGTCTGAGGTCTTGAGTGATGAAGCCTACGAGGAACACGTTAGATCGAGACCCATGGGGAAGACCAACCCAGAATTACCAAGACCAAAGCTGGGTGTGAGGCTGTGCAAGAAGTGTGCAGAACTCTTGAATTTGCTCGCTGAGTATATTGCAAAGTTGAGTCAGCGACTGACGGCCAGGGCGTCAAAAATACCAACGAACACACCTAAAGTTCCTCGTCACAAAACTTTAGGTCCGAGCGCGAAGCCCAAAAGGAAGCCAAAGAAGAGTACTTCAAAACTAGCCATTCGAACGCCAGCAGCGCCAGCGCCGTCAAGAACGGGCTGGGAAGCCTGGTACATGAACCGCCGGCTTCCTTACCCACCATTCGACAAATCACTTCCGGTCACACCTCGCGCATCAACGTCAACTCTCACCAAGGCCTTTGAACCCAAAGGGAAGTTTCCAGCAACGCCTCGAGCCTCTTTTTCACGCATCGACTGCGCGCGCATCATCGCTCAAGCACAGGACAGTGCACATGCAAACTTTGTGAGCCAAGGAACGGACCAATGGCATGTGCCAACCGTTGCCGGGCCATCAGATCTGGTGAAGGAAGCGCTCATGTGGTTGGATTATGAAGATAAGTCGGGGAAGATAGGAAAGACAGTTTTTGATGGAAACATGGCAGACGAAACTGAGTACGATTATTCCCGTAACGCCAAGCTGGCGGTAGTGTAGAGGTGGGAAGTTTGATTGAATGGTAGTCTTTGCTAGTCTACAGACTCACAGCTCTCTGTCCCGAATAGTTCTATACTGTTGATACTTCATGTTTGCCTCGTGCTCTTTGGTCATATTCTGCATGAAGCCCTGGGCAAACTCCGTTTTGACCGCCCATGAGGCTGTTATGCGTAAGAATTGCAAGGCGAAGACCGTCCAGACTAGCTGGATACCTTCGATAAAGATTATCTGCTTGTAGGCTGGAACGAGGATGAAGGCGAGTAGGCGAACAAGCGGAGTGACGGAGAAAAATGTACCCAGGAAGTTGAAGATAAGGTGCTAGTCGGCATGTTAGTGAGATGCCATGCCGAAAAATGAAGATAAGAACTTACTTCGCCCAGGTCCTTGAAGATCAACATTGGTGACTTCATCTTGAGAAGCTGCCGAAGCATATGCTCCACGGTGAATATAGACAGCATGCCAACTGTCATATCGAGCACCCATTTGACGAAAGTATTGCGCCAGTTCAACGACGCTCGATGCACTCTGCCCTGTGCGATCCATTTCTTCACCACCTCTTCCTCTCTATCTTCGTTCTCTTCGACTTGCTCCTTTTGCTGTACTGGAGCGTCTCGGTATCTCGGTCGAGCGGGCAAGATCCTTTCAAGGCCAATGAGCCACCAGTACTGCAGTATAGCGAGCGCTAGTGAAATGATCACTTCTCTTGGCAACGTTCGCCGATAGAAAGATTCCGGTATCTCACTATCTGCAGTTCCATTGATGCCATTGGTTCCATTGAGTCCATTTCTAGTTTCGTTGCCATGCTGGAGGGCAAAGGAGAGCGAGGCACCGTCGGAGGTGTTGACCGTGTGTTTGGCATCGATTGCTAGTTGGCCAGTTTGGTCTGTTAAACCAGGAATGGTAGCATTGGGCATTGTCCCATTGGTGAGAAGGTTGAGAAGTGTCTTGAATGTTTCATCCTGCGTTACTTCGTCGAATATGTTTTCTTCGGCATAATGGAAGTAGAGCAGCGAGACGGTGCAGATGGCGGTTGCCTGGAGGACGGCGTTGCGCATCACTGGCGAGAAGAGCATGGTTGATATTGTCGGTAGAGGTATGCGATGGATGACGGAAGAGAAATATGAGATGGACGCAATCTTAAGGCGGGTTGCCATATGAATACTGCGCCGCGTTAGGCAGCCACTCGTGTCTGCCTTGCAGTGCTATCACATTGGACGCCTGATACGCGATGCGGTCCGAATATGATGCAACGGCATCAGTTATCCGCCATCTTGATGTCGTTGTCAAGAAGGCTATGCAAGGACATCCGCCTATTGCATCGCATCAGTCGATGATGCTACCGGGTCTCGGAACGTCTCAGACACTATCCTCTTTTCGGAACGCGCTGATCTCGGCACGTGCCAGGGGTCCTTCCCGACACCCGGTGTTGCTTCAGAACGACGTCAAAGGCCAGTTTGGAAGTGAGGCTTTGGTTCTATCTTCTGCATTTTACCGTAGGATCTCGTCTAGTAGGAAGTCGGAAAGATGTGAATACCTATAGCGGGCCTGCACTCTTGCGTCAGACGCAACCTTGGAACTCAGCTGAATATGTCATCTAGCGAGAGCGATCAGTAATCTGTGCTCAACATTTAGGTAAGGAAGATCTTTTGCTTCAAGACATTGCGATCAAGGTATCACAAGGCGCGCGTTAGGAGTTACAAGATACGCGTAATCTTTCGGCGCACAACGTACAAGGAAGCCCAGATGAGAGCCTATAACCGGCGAAGCCAGTTGTTAAAACCGTTGGATATCTGCGGATGAATAATGCGGTGGTCAAGTCAAGAGATACATCGTAGAATGTTGAATGAAAGCTTGTACCAGAATCGGCTAGATGGCCAGTTTCTCACGGCACCTAATTCACCACACTTTGCCACCAACCTCGAGGCAGCAGTATCGTGCCTACTATTTCTCATGCGCACATGTGCTCAGATCCGTTCCTTCGCGACTTTTCACTACTATACAGTCCGGCGACTTCGTTGACCTTTGATCGGCAAGTTCTTAACGAACGCTTTCTACGTTCACCTGCACTCGTCACCTTGAAGTCACAAAAGTCTCCGTTAATCCCCCTTCCTCATTACCATCAACACACTCGAAGAACTTCAACTCAACCTAGACGCAAAATTCAGTATGATTCGCTTATTTCTCTACGCAGCCACCCCCTCCGGACTCAGAATGAGTTGGTTACGGCACGCAAGCCTCGCACTCTTTCCAGAAGAATTCCGCGCCGATCTCGATGAACTCCACAGATACTTTCCTAGCCTGGCTATGGTGGTACCAGGAGTATTGTCCCAAGTATCGGCAAAAAACGTCGGCTGGTTCTTCGCGACACTAGAGAGGACTGCCATCATGCTGACGACTTTTCTAACACAGCATCCGACTCCGGAGCAGATCCAGCGTTACTGCAAAGACCTGCAGAACTACATGGAACTGGAATGTCGTGAATGTCCCGCACTCCGCGAGTTAGATCTTAGAGAACTCGCCACCTTCTGCGAAGCAAAGCTAGAAGCTTGCCGCCTTTACGGCCCTTGGGCTTCCAGGGAGGAATCCAGCTTGCCTCCGCTAACTAATCGTGAGGCCTTCTGGATTGTTCATGCTTTCCTCGAGCCCGTGACAATACAGGTGTTAGGTGCTATGGCCCAAGCGCACATACCTACGTGCCGCTCGAACATGAGCTTCCGCGAGTTCGTCCAAGCAAGTTGGGGTTACAAGAATGGGATGTTGCACAGCACTACAGATCTTCCCTGGACATATCTAGGAGATTATGACGATGATGTCGACCCTGACATGGATGACGATCTTCAACCGACTGGCGAGCGTATTCTGATTGAGGATTTCTGCGTACCAGTGCGGATCGTTCCTGAAGGTGTCGCATGCGCAGTATGTATGGTCGACGTCGACGAAGACAACAAGAACGAAGAACGACCTGTGATCACCAAGTGTGCTCACTACTTCCATCAAGTCTGTCTAGACAGCTGGGTCAATGAGTCAGCTATGAACGGTGCGAACGCATGCCCACAATGCCGTGCAGAGATGTGTCAAGCTCGCGCACGTGAACCTGTTTCACGGCTCGAGAGCGAGGCGCAGGAGGCCGAGGATGACGACTTCATCGACTCTATGCAAGAGGAGACATTGTACGCCGAGGGTAAAATCGATCGCGAAAGCGGGTTGTTTTCGCGTCTGCGCAGCCGATTCCGCCGGAATTGAGGAAGCCTGTCATCTATAGGGGCAAACACGTCGGCAATAACGGCTTAGTGATATCTGGTCAATTCCTGCCCGGGCTCCCGGCCTCTTCGATAGCGCCGTATCATGCAGATGGGGTGACGGAGTGAACCTTGGAATGCAATGGCCTTGATAACGGCCTTGGAATGTGGCAGTAGGGCTAGAATAGAAACGCTAGATGTATAACATAGTACCATTCATCTTGGCAGATGGTCTGTTCAATAGTGTAATGGATTTCTTACGCGCATTTGACTGTTGGGAGATGTACAGACGAGTGATCGCGCTCGCATTAAAGGATGAGGATTGCTGGCTCGTGATGTGAATGTAGCAGCCGTGTCGTGCCCCTCACAGAAGGCATGCGCGGAGGTTATTGAGTTTTCGAAATGTGATAAAGATAGTTAGGGCGTTTAATTGCTGGGAGGCATCAACAACGATGATGATGACCTCAGGTACCGAGCTGCTCGAACAGTCGGCGCCACTAGCCCCTTCGGGACTAGTACCCCACCATCGTGCCGGCAATTTTGAACTGCTCGAACTTCTGGCGCACCGCGCGACACTCACTCATTCTCCAACCCCTCCGAATCAGACGCAGGATATCCATTTCTTTGCGCTCCCACCCCCATACCGCAAAAATGTCCACCACCGTACGTACAACCGCTTTGCTGTCCAGCGCAAGGGAGCACCCCATGCGCACAAGAACAGTAGGCTAAGTACTCAAGTTACAGAAGCGCTCCGCTGCCGCCAAGAAGGGCCAAAAGGTCACCAAGAAGTTCATCATCAACTGCTCGCAGCCCGTCAACGACAAGATCTTCGATATCCAGGCTTTCGAGAAGTTCCTGCACGACCGCATCAAGGTCGAGGGCCGCACAGGTAACCTTGGTGATACCATCCAGATCAGCCAGCAGGGCGATGGCAAGATCGAGGTCATTGCGCACCAGGAGTTCTCCGGCCGCTACCTGAAGTACCTGTACGTTTAGCAACTGGCGCTCCAGATGGGAAGAATGTTGGCTAATAGCTTGACAGCACCAAGAAGTTCCTCAAGAAGCAGCAGCTCCGTGACTGGCTCCGCGTCGTTTCCACCTCCAAGGGCGTTTACGAGCTCCGCTTCTTCAACGTCGTCAACGACGAGGCCGATGAGGACGACGAGTAGATCTACGATACCACTTAAAAGATACCAACATGGCTTGCATAGTATGGAGTCTAGGGTTCGGACAATAGGATGGGTGAAGGTCTACATGGCACGTAGCACGATCTAATGAATTGATGCACCTGCCACCTCAATTGCATGCTCATGCGTGATTTACTCTCTACTTTGAAAGTCCTGGTTTCAGCGCGATGTCCGAAACACTCAATTCTACGCTAATGGAGTTTTCTGAGTCTGACGGTGGGGCATGTATGGCGTGAGTCTGTTTACAGGAGTAGGGATCCCTGAGAAAAGTTTGCGATGTCACACGCGAGAACACGTTTAGCTCGAATCGAATGGCATACCCACTTACTCCACACGATGCTAGGGAGAAGGGTGCAATATCTTCCGCGCAAGCGCAGACTGTGGACCATGCGTCGTGCCTACCCAGTCACGATCCTGAACACAGCTGCGAAAGAAACTCAGGCACAGCGCATCGTCTCTAATAGTACGAATGGCGGCGGAATCAAAAGCTGAATCCATGTAGAATGGTTCAAGTCGTCTGAAGATACGCAACGAAACGTCGAATCCACCATGTCTTCAGTCAAGGCTATTCCAG